ACCATCATGCCTGACCGGAGGCAACAGACTCGAGCCATTCAATGTCCTTTCTCACCGTGGTCAGCACATCACAACCTGTCTTGGTGATCAAAACTACATCTTCAATGCGCACACCGCCCACATCTTCATAGCGACTGAGGACCCCATGGTCGATATACGGAGAGTTTCGAACAGGTGCCAGCTGATAAGGTGAAAAGTAGCAGCCCGGTTCAATCGTCTGGTGGTAGATAGTGAGATAGCTGTGGTGTAATTGTTCAAAATATGCTCACCACAACCATATTCGCCTCTAACGGCAATCTCAACCTCAAATATCGATAGAATTCTGGATTCTGTGTCGAAGATGAAGGAATCGTTTTGTTGACAGAAGGCTTTGAGGCCGAAGGGACGTCATGAACATCCATTCCAAGGGAATGGCCTAGACCATGTGGATAGAATGCCGCCGATACACCACTGTTCAGAATAGTTTTAAGTTCTCCTTTGAAGATGCCCAATTTGATAAATTCTTCCACTAAAACCTCATGGGATTTGAGGTGAAGCTGGTCCCAGTGAACACCGGGCTTTGCTGCTTCAATGCATGCCTTTTAATGATCAGCGGATGTCCATCATATATGGCAATTTGATTACCAGTTGCATCTTCAATACTGTTTGATAAATATCCCGAGCCTCCTTCGTAAATTTACCTCCATTGCCCACAGGCGTTACTCGCGTGACTGTATTTGTGAGCTTTAGGCTGGGACAGAAACGGAAAGGGACCAACTATCTGAAGCATAGTTTTTCCATTCACATCCCGCGTCGATGAGCAATACTTGAGGGGCCAGACAACTATGGTCATGATGTGTGTGGACTAGGTCTGCACGAGTGTGGGCAGTGGGACCCCAAGCAAATTCCTTGTCATTGCAACAATAGTGAAGAGTGGAAGCACGTGTTGATGCAGCAACAATTGGAAGATATGCTTGATGTATAGCTCTGGACGAATGAGAATAACCCCATAGGGGATAATGGCTGCAAGGACTCACCCTTCTCGTCGGCAACTCGCGACAAATACGGCCTCAGCCTCAGCTTCCTTTGTTATTCTCCATTGGGAAGGCATAGTTGGAGCGTTCTGTTCGGTGATACTGTTCGTGCTAGTATCTTGGCGTGACAGATCTTTGACACCTTCTCCAAGTAATCTCATAACGACTTCATGAGCTCGAGACGAGATATCATTAGCCTTCTTGATGAGTTCGATCTCATATTCATCTTTAATGAGGCGCACTTGATGCAAAGCGTCCAATAGATATTGGCTTGTAGCTGAACCAAGATAGCTCATGACATCTGCGGATTGAGATGGAAAGAGGGGAGAAGAGGGAAGTATATGTATCATATGATTGGTAATATTGCTTGTCACAGTGGCTAGGGATGTTGCAAAGTCTTTGCTAAAGCCGATGTTCGTCGCATCGTATAGGTCGCGGGCTTGAGCGAGGTTTGGTGGTGCCGGGGACCATAATACCTCCAATGGATCCTCTTCAGGTATGAACAGGTGACTGATATAAGAACCAGGGGCCATAGAATATAAAATTAGATAACTTCCTGGCAAATCACATCCACTGAGCCAGAAGAAGTTTGACTCTTGTCTGAAAATCAACTCCCTATCCGTATCGTGCCTGTATGCTGTACATTCTCCAGTTAATACTATGATGTGTGTCTTGTCTGAGGCTTCTGGTGGCACAGTCTCCACCAACTTCTCATGAAGCCTCTTGAAATGTTGCAAGGCTGATGGA